TATAAATTTATTTATCTCTTAAATTTTTAGATTGACAAGAATTTATTGGACAACGCGAATAAGATGCGCAATTTGAATGTTATAAAATTTTCAACTTGCATTTTTATTTTGTATGATTCACTTACTTTAACGCAAAAAATTTTCCCAAAAGGTAAACAACATTTTACGCAAGCCTGAGATAAACTCGCACAAATTACTAATTGATATGTTTCAGGTGGTCTAGTTGCGATTACTTCAGCCGCTTTATTAAATACAGAAGAAGCTATTAAACGAATCTTTGACATATTTGAACAAGTAGACCGATTTTTATAAAATTTTATTTCAATACCAATGAATTTAACTTTCTAACTTTCTTTATAAAGCAAAAAATCATTCGCGATGATGGTAATTGGGACATGCTTGTTCATCCAGAAATAATAGAAAATATCATTGCGGCTAAGCATGTAAATCTAGAAAAAAGGTATTTATTTTGTATGCTTTAGTTCAAATTGGTCCTTTTGAGATTATATGACCATTTCGCTTAAAACACTAAAGGCTAGGTCTTCAGCATGAAGTGAAAGAAAATGCAAAACAAAGAAAAATAAAAATATTGAATCATTCGAGCCTTTTTGATGTAAGTGCGGTTTACTTTTCACATATAATAATAATAATAATAATAATGATAATAATAATAATAATAATAATAACGGCAATACGTTAATTACATATAGAAAGATCAACCAAACGAATCAAATAGTCTCTATGAGACTTTTGAGAAGATATACTCAAAAAACTTGCACAAAAGACGGTTTTTTGTTTTTATTGGTGACGAAAAAGAGATTCCTGTGTTTAATTCGAAGAATATCGCAGCAGTGCGTATACATCTTTGTGATACATGTATCATTTCCGTGTTATAGAACTGAAAGCAATTTGTTTGTAGATCGAGCAAATGACGTTATCGAAATTTATTACGATTTTTGGCGCACAAATAGGTTTTTGAGCTTAATCCTTATAAAAGATTGATATGGAATATTAACTTTAAAACAATAAAACAATTGCAAAAACTTTGTGTAAATTTCTTACATAATCGCATTTGTCAGCAAAAAGAATGAAATAAAGATACTAGTGAGCCATGCTATAATAAAGTTATCGGGTCATGACCTATCCTTCAGGTATTTACTATATAATGATCTCACAAAACAATAAATTCACTAAAAGATAATATGTTGTATATAAGTTTATATGGTTCAAATTTAAGAACTATAAGTTAATAAGAAGTACTTTTGTCACTAGTTTTAGTAACCTTGTTTACACATCTGGGTAGACTTAAAATTAAAGTTCGTAAATTTCCAAATCAATACTTGTGCATACTAATTAATTCTTGTATTGATGTAGAAAACATTCTTCTTTTTCAGATTTGGTAGTTCAAAATATCTCACAAGTGTTCAATCAGATTGAGATCAGGGTTAATCCAATCT